GGGTCCCAACTATGAGTCAGTTTTGACTCAGTGGTACACAGCATCTTAGCTAAATCATATTTTAACCCTATACCTTTGGACCACCTTATAAAGCCTAGTAAAATCTCTTGGTTTTAGTATTTCAGTAGACTTGTTTTCCCTATCTAGGGGCCTACTGCATAAGGAGTTGCACTGCCAGCAAAAGGCTGACAGAATGACCACCAGCTGAGTCACAGAAAAAGGACAATCTCCTCCCATTTACAGCCTCTGAAAACACACAGGAGCGGTCAGCTCAGGATTCTGTTCCGGCTCGATGGCGCATAACATCAAGCCGCGTATGACAGGAGCGCTCTGCTGGCCTTGTTTGTAGGGAGCTGGGCTTCTAAAGCCCAAGGCTGTGCTTTTCCCGTGATTCGAACCCACCAGGAACTCCTCAGGATGGACACTCCCCTCGGTGCGATTTATAGCCTCTGAAACCCTGCTGGCGACTGGCTAGGAGTCACTTCCACCTTGACCACAATGAGCTTGAGAGGTTTTGAATGATATATGATGGTCCCAGAAAGAGATCATCTAAATTCAAGCGGTTGGCTACTCTTTATCAGTTGGCAAGATGTTAACCTCAAAAAGATCACGTAGCAGCGGGTGTCTGGGTTGGTGCTTTATACCAGTCTCAGAAGGAAGTAGGAGATCGGAGATAGTTAATCCCAGGACATGCACTGGGACACAGAGCTGATTCCTTATTTTACTACACTTGATGTTCTTTAATAGCACGATTATGACTTCCTGGAATTTTTGACATTCAAGTGTAAGAAAATAGTTCATTCAAGATTTCATTTGTCAGTTTTCTCCTCTTTGGATGGTCGAAACAACTCTACCGCCACCTGTTCCCCCCCCCCCCCCACCCCCTGTGTTCTTGTCACTCTGGGAATTGTCAGATCCACTGGGATTACTAGTTTCTCAGATGAAAACACTAGGCAACTCCTAAGAGCTAGGTTTGGTTTTTGGGATCCTATTATGTACCTTTAAAATGAAGTATTCTTTTAATTCAGAGGAAAGACTATCCCTTCTTTGAAGCCTCGCCTTCTTGCATTCTTCCCATATATTCTGCCTTATCTCCTCCCATGTGATTTACTTACTGCCCCTGAAAACCCACTGGAGGGTCAACCACGAATCAGTTCCAACTCAACAGCACACAACAAAACTACGTGGAACAACACTGGCTGAAAAGAATCTTTGGGGAGCAGGGGATCAACGACTACATTTCTCTTCCTGGTTATGCCAACTTGACGTATTTTTCAGTCTCCAGCTGAACAGTTAAGACTAGAATCTAATGGTTTTACATGTTAGAGAAGGTCTTCTATATGATAGGGGGGAAAGAAAGAAAAGTTTAGAATGACTTGTTTTACTGACATTTGCTTAAATATTCCTATATGCGGGCAATGACTTAAGGGGTGGGGGAATACTTCTCAGTCTTATTCAGGGGGATTCTCAATCCCCACATCACTCCCTCCATGAACATTTGGACATAAGCCGCCTTGTTCTCTTCCTACAACCCGTCCAGTGCAACAGTGACCCATTGGTTGAAGTGTGGCATCTATCTCTGTGTGCTTGGAGTGGGGGAAAAAAAATAAATTTATCATCTTGTCAGTGGATTAGTTATTTTCTATTTGAATTCTTCAAAAAGATAAGACATTTTGTTTAAATTATATTATTTATTCTTAGATTATCCCTCTTAATCCTGCATGCATTGTGAGCACAAAAAAGTTGAGCTTGGTCACAACCTCCTTTGAAGAAGTGAGAGTAGGTACACAATTCCCAGCTGAAGTTTCTTCAGGATGGCCCATGGATGCCGGGCCTTGGTAACACTGTCAGTAACCTACACACACAATGTTCAATAGAAAAAAATCGACCAGATACCCTCTGTTTAATGTAAACAAGGCAAGAGGCAAAACAGAGGATTACAGTAACACTATTTTACAGGGCCCACAAATATGATTATCTATCATGTTTTAACATTTGGTGTCACATGACATGCATATTGTCATTTATTGTACCAGCCAAAATATAATTACCATATAATTGGTGGCTTTTGTACTTTGTAGGAACTTCATTGCCAGTGAACTTCATAATTAAATGGTAGCTGTAAAGTAATGAGATAATTTATGGAAATACTTTGCCATGAATTTATGGGAGTAATTCTAGAATTTGTGCCCTGTAAAATTAAGTGTAACAATCTTTACACTAGCAACAGTGTAATAAGCAAGCTAAGGATTTTGGTCCTTATATATATACATACATCTATGTACACATGTACACACACAATAATGTACAAAACCCCCCAAAAAGCTATGAATCCACTCATAGCTTCCATATTGCACAGAATGATACACTGTGAGAACATTACATAGTTAGGATGTGAGTACTACAATGATAATTGGCTAAAGACAAATTTGAGTTCTATCAAGTAATGAATGTGGTTCATTATTAAAGATAAACCTAGAGATTGTTAAGAGACCAATGTTTAAAAAAAATTTGTGCATCCCTATTTGTACAAACGTGAAGCAAAGCAAAGTTCCATTTGGTACTTGTCAGACTAGTCATCTGTCGAGCTGGTACTTGCCACTCCACACAGCGCATTTCAGTCATGGTTTGCAAGAACTGAGTAATGGAAATATTCCCAGAGACAGGAAGAAAAGAGACTAGAGATGCAATACAGCATTTCACTAATAAATCTAATTGGCTTTGAGAACTTGTGTTGACTCTAGGTCTGAAATACATATGAAAAGAGGGGTGAAAGAAAAGCCTTAAACTCTTTTTTTTATAAGAGAAACAAATATATATTTTTTTTAAAAAAAATTATACTTTAAGCTTGAGCTGATTAAAAAGCAAATTCATTACAGTAACTTAGGACAATTTTGTTTTCAGAAGCAGCATACACACACAGAAAAATGGAAGAGTTAAAGCTTTTCTGGGTGTGAGTTCATGTATTATCAAGATCCCATTGTGAAATCAAGAATAAAAATGTATTTTTGGTTTGAGAGGTTGTATCATTGCTGTTACCTCTACTGAGCACTAAGTGAAATACATTAAGAAATATCTAATATCTCTTAAAGCTTTCTTTGAAATATGCCTACATCAGAGCAGAGGTTATAGCTACATCTGAAGACGGAGATGCTGGCTGGAGAAAGCTTTCCCACCACCACTCACATCACTTTAACATCATACGTGGAGTAACCATCTCTCACTTTTGGGTTTTTCCCTGTTTGTTTAATAAATGCCTTAGACTATGCTAACTAAAGATTTGCTTTGAGTTGAAAATGTAGTCTTGTTGTTGTTTTTTAGATGATGGTAAGCATTCTAGAGCTGAGAGCACTCATCACCTTCTGATATTTTGTTCTTAATAAATAGCAAAAACTATAAAATCTCCCTCCAAACAAGTAAAATTAGGAGACGGGGGTTAAGTCATGCTTCTGTGCGCAAACCGCGAGACGTATGGACGTAAGCCCGCCACAGCGCAGCTTCTGAGGAGGGGGTGCCGGTTTCCAGATGGAGAGTGCGGCTTTCTGCTCCCCCAAACATCAGCAAAGGGAACAGTAAGGAAGAAAGTGCGGCTGCTTAATATTTCAACTTAAAAAAAAAAAGCTTCAAAGCAATGTCTGAGGGATAAGTATCCCTTAAATAAAAAACAAGAAATGAACACACAAACACCGTCTTGTAAATCAGATTGAAGCAGGCCGTGCGCAGCACAGCTTTGCCACACAACCTACATATTTCCTATGAATAGACCCAATTCACGTGCATACCCAATTCACCAAAATCCTTTGACATGTAAACAGGACATCTAAGAGGCTTGTGTTTTCCATCTTCTAGGATCATCTAAAAGAAATGACTGAACAACAACAAAAAAAGGTAAAATGTAAACATTAAGAAGACCACTGATATTTTGACTGCTGCCTAAAGAATGAATGATCCCTTTCCTACCTAGAAGCGACCAGGGGTTTCAATGATAAAAATCAAATTATGAAACAATTTTCTAAGACAGGTAGAGAGAGAGAGAGAAAAAAAAAAAGAGATCCTCAACCCAATACAGCTTAACTAACTTTTAAAAAAGACCACATTAGCCAAACAGAGCGCTGGTAGCGCAGTGATTCCAGCCCTCGTGTCTGTAAAACCTGACAAGCTTTGAAAGCCTGCCTTCAGGGCAGTTCTCTTATATCCTCTCTGGGTTACCGGGAGAAGCAGCGACTTAGAAAAACACGAATGATGATGTGCGTGAATTCAATATTGTTGCAAAAATGACAAGTGAGGAAATCAATCACTAACATGACTGTGTACACAAAAGAGTAATAGAATGGTTTTTCTTAAAAAATATATATTAATCAAGAACTTTTTTATCATATTAAATTGTTATTCTTAGAAAAGCTGAAATAAGCTAACAGTGCTCTACACATTTCTGTCTTGGGTTATCAACTCCTATAATTACACAGATCATTTGATGATTCCTAAACTGTATCTTTTTCTAAGTTATAATCCCCCCACCCGCCATAGTGTGTTTGGTAAGAATCCTGACCTTAAAAAGTTATAAAATTAGTGATTTTTTTTTTGCTAATCATTAATCCAAAAGAATGGAAGCATTTGAGTCCCAGAGAATTTCAGAATGCTTTGCTACCTAAAAGGCTGTGAAAAGAACAGAAATACCAAAGTCATGACATCAGAATGTTTGCAGCTTTTCACACAGTCACTGGAAATATTGATTTCCTGAAGCTCCTTTGATTGTGTCCTGGATTCAGCGGTGTGCAATTTTATATGGAGAACCATTATGAGAAAGCCGATGGAAATGTCATTCAGCATTTTACCAAGAATGTCCCTTCAGCAGGCTCTTTATGGCTCTGCCCATCTTAGAGCAAAGCTTCGTTTTAAAAAAGGCTTTTTATCCTCTTGGCTGAGAGGAGTCTTTTCCGATGAAGCGTGCACCGCGGCTCTGTCCCTCAGGTTCCTGGAAGCCCGCCGCCCCTCACCTCTCACGGTGTGGAGGACGTGTGGTACTTCACAAAGGCAATGGCCGCCAGCTCCTTGCAGAATTCTTCCAACACAATCACGCCCTCGAGCAATGTGATGTGGTCGATGCTGGACAAGGGAAAACAGATGCACATCGACTCGTAATCCACCACTCATTGCATTTTAGGAAAATCTGAAGGTTAAGAATGAACTTACATCGGGCCTTCAGGTTCCAAACCAAGTAACCGCTTTCTAACCAAGAGAAGTTTAGGCGTAAAATCTTGAATCCGCTGGATTCGAACCATAAGGTCTCCAACAACCTGGGTTACAGAATACAAAGGAATATAGTTTGTAGAATCAACTACACAGGAATTGTCAGGATAACGAAAATCCCTTCTCTACTCCAAATACACCATGCCACCTGTCACTGTTTACATGACAGCCTTTTACCAAGGACTTACACTGAATGCTTTCATAATTTTC